TATATTTTGCAGTAAGTATCAAATATTCGGAGATTATTAGGAATAATTAGTGATCTTATTGAGTAGTTTGTAATAGAAATGTGAAGAAAAAAAGAAAGCATGAGAATTTGTTTCTTATTTAATTATATCATTTTAGAGTCCATTCTACATATATATTTGTGCATCGGAACGTTTTCGTCGACAATTAATCTATGTATTGTTCACAATTCATCTCAATCGATGTAGACGACCAAGAATGATTACGAATCAAGTCATACCAGAGACATAAAGATTAATAAAAATTATTAATGAACTTAAACATTTTTTACTATTATTGTTTCTTTTCTAGCCTTGAATTAGTTTCCACTTGTAAATTTTATGTAAAAATAAAATAAGAATATTGTATGATAATGAAAGTTATCCACTGTAAGTAATAGTTACTTTTTATGTCTTTGATTTTTATATGGTTGAATAGAGCTCATAAAACTATATAAGAAAATATATTTTAAAAAATTTTTCCGAAGCTCTTAGACAAAAGAATAAAATTGAAAAGACAAGATACCCATATCTTATAAGATATGAGTCTATTTTTTTAAATATTGTTCTAATAACTTCCAAAAATTTTTTATTATTCAGTGTGATTAGGGGTCGTACTTTAACTTAACTTGAAAAGTTAAAGTTAAAGTGCTTGTGCCATAGGCAAGAAACGAGCATGCCCAGTTCTTGGGTCCTCATATGGCTATTCTAGGCGGGTTTGGATGAGGATGTGGGTGTGGGTGTCGGTGCGAATCAAGAGAAGACTCACACAGAGACCCACACCCACCCTTCTTGACTTCAGGCTATGATCGTCACACTGAGTCAATGACCAACAAGTGCCATCAGTAACAAGATTTTCTGTTTTTATCCGATAATGGTATGTAACTGATTACGGTCGAATTTTAGCCATTAGAAAGAATGAAATTCGATAAGTGAAACTGTCGAATTCTGATATAATCCGATATGTTCCTATACTAGTATTGGCAAGAGTTTTAGTGAGAATTCAAGGGTGATTTAATGATGCAAATTTCGATGATATCCTGCCATTGGATAGTCACGGATCATGTCGGAGACGAAGGTTAAGAGAAAACATTGTAAATAATCTGAATACGCTAGGAAGTAGCCGACCGAATCTGATCATCGTGTAGCAGCGGATATGGAACTCGTTCAACAAGGTTCGACATACCGAGGATAACCTAGGAGCAAATATATCATTCACGTTTAAGCAAGTTTTATTATCTCTAATCCTGATAGTAAAAAATAGGTTTGTATTTGTGTTAAAAGAAATGTTAATGTCGATTTATAAAGAAAATTCGAAACAGTGTCAATCATCGAGACCCATGTATCCTCGAATTTGGTCTGCAGCTACATCGGTCATTTTTGCTACTATTTGCTGTGTTAATTTTTTCTTAAGTTGTGCTTGAGCAGCATTGAATTTTCTATTGATAAAACTAGCAACTGTGTCCGGAATAAAATGAAGAATGAGTTCTAACGTACCACCATCTCCACGTTTATCATTAATCATGGAAATAGTTACCATATGAAGCCACTCTTTCTTAGTATTCGTATTAAATTGAACACCTTGATTATTATCCAGAAAATTGAATGTTCCGTAAGCTAAAAGATCATCTTTACCAATATCAGAATCCCATAGCTGAACATACAATGCTTCTAAGCCTTGTGCTACAGGAAATAGAAGTTTTTCATCGAAAATGGGATGACAACCATCATGAATTTGCGTCTTTTGACATGTTTCTGTTTGTTGTAACTGCTTGCCAAATTTTATTTTCGTTTGATTAGTAAGAGGTTCAAGTGAAATGACCGCGTAGCAATCGTTCTCACCCAAAAAATCACTTTTGATTAAATTGTTAGCTTTCAGCACAGTTACCGATAAAATACCTTTGAGACGTTGAGATGATGCAGCCATTTTACAGTCGTTGCTGTTTGTCGAAGTACGTCTTATTTACAGTCAAATAAGGCTCGAATTCTTTCTCCCTACAGGTATATCACACATGTGTTTCTTTATTCTCTGCTATATATAAATGCCTCTATGGTACACGTCACTACGTCAATATGCATGGAGATACCTGTTCGATGATAAATAAAATAAAGTTTAACGACTCTTTCCTCTATCTCTTGCATATAGATTATTCAAAATGATGCAAATATCGCCCTATGTATATAAGATACCTTCGCTTTGATCAATATATGACGTGTCTCCTAACAGTGATTCCACTCTCTAAAAAAAATCCGTTTCCTAGAAAACCCAAACGACTTCGGATACGCTTCCGGAAACCCTTTAGAGTTTCCAAAAGGGTTTCCGGTCTCCACTATGGGTTTCAGGAATATCCTCTTGGTTTCCGAATGTTCGAAAACCAAAGAGTTTTCGAGAATGCCGATTCGGATACCCTAAAAGTATCCTCGGATTCTCTGATGGTATTGAGGGAAACCGTAAAGGTATATTAGGAAACCTATATTACTAGCAAAATCGATTTTCTACCCCAAGGGGTATCCGACAATACCATTTCGGTTTTCGAAGTATTTCATCGGAAACCGGAAGGGTTTTTGAAGCTTCCAAATCTCAAAAAAGTATAATGGGAAACGTAAATAGGTTTCCGAAGAATTTCATCGAAAACTGAAAAGGTTTGCGAAACTTCCAAAACTCAAAAAAGTATAATGGAAAACCTAAATAGGTTTCCGAATTTTTTTGAAGCCGTCGAAGGCTTCCGAAGTTTCGAAAGCAGTCGAAAACTGCTTTCCTTAAGTGATGTCAGAGCCTTACAACTATTTGAAAGAAACTTGGTGGGGATCCGAATTTCGATCTTCATTTTTTTTTCATTTTAACGGTTATTAGGACGCTTGAAGCGACTATGTGTTTATCACAAGGCATTTGCTTATCAATGATTGCTTCTTGACATCAACATATTTTTATACATATTCATTTCATTCTCTCAAAATAATCAAACATCATTTTTACATTATCAATTCAAGTGTGGCTACTGGTATAGGACGAAAAACATAGCCTTGACAAAACTCAAACCATTGAATAACAACATTTACTCTAATATGTGTCTTTTCTCTTTGCTGTTTTGATAAAATTCTAATAAAAACGCCGACTAAGTTTAGGAATTGGAATCCACAAAAGGTGAGAGAGAGTAAGAACACTAGAAATATTTGTCATTGTAAAGTTATTCTAACTGACTAATCTACAAGAAGATAGTATCGATGGACTTCAAATCATTCAAAAAAATTAGTTTTAAGCGAAAACGAGGTGATGATATCATTGTCTTCCACATGTGATTGCAACAATTTTGTCTACATATTTGTCAAGAGAACAATGAATCATCATTCTATGATATCTGCCTTTCTTTTTTTCCAGTGTTTTCTGTGCTTACGTGGTATAATCTAATAAAAATGAAAGTTTAAGCCTCTAATGTATAGATTCGTAACAGTGCATTTGTGTTGTAATATTGTTTACTTTATATTGAATTGATTGTGTCGTCTTCACATTTCGGTTGGCTGAAAGTTATCCAAGTTTGAGATAATAATTGTTTATTTCGTCTCATTTAATAACAATTTTCATTAAAAACAAAAAAAATTAATATAAGCGATTATTTGTATTTTCTCTAATGCTGTCTATAACATTTCGTTTATATAACAGTTTCTTGTTAGAATTCTCGACTATTCTTTAGGTTTTCGAAAAGAAGCTTAAGATAATTTTCTTATTCATATGGTACTGAATCAAGAGATTGAGTAATGATAACTATTGGTCACGATAAAAAATGCACAAACAAGTTAACAAGCACAAACTGTTTCTAGGTGCACTCTTGCATAGTCATCATAGAATGGACAAAAAAGAAATATCAAATCTCAAATGCCCGTGATTATTAAATGTACCTATCTGAATGCTCTCAGAATACATTGATATCAACCAAAGTTTAAATGAAAGTTAAAAGTAAAGTTTGAGGATGTTTACTCATCTACTTCAATGTTTAGTTGTAATGTTAAATTTCGAACACCTCACTTCGTTTAAGTTCACAAACATCTGATTTTTAAAATATACTAGCCTTGAAAATACAGATAATAAGGAAAACAGTCAATATGAAAAAGATTGCTTTGAAAGAAACCTAGACGTTTTTTACATGATTAACCAGGGCTGAGGGTATCAGCCAAAAGCACGGGTTGGGACGGGTCCAGAAAAATAACGTTTGGTGACACGAGCGAAGCTGATTGAAAATAGATCAAAACATGTTCACATGATTTCCTAATAACCCTGTTCATCTTTTAGTTTGTGCATACGACGTTCAAACCACTTTCATATCATTCAAACACGCTATAAGGAAACGTTTTGAATGCTATTCGACAATAAAATTGATTTTTCTGAATCTCTAAGCCTTTTGATGTTATATATATATAAAATAATACATATGTACCTCAAAGACGCAAGATTTAAAATAGTTTGAATGCTTTTTTTTATAGATGAATACTACTGATCCATTCACGTGGGAAATAGATGATGTTGCGACTTGGCTACGTACTTTCATTTCAAATGATGAATTAATTAAAGAATTTCAAAGTGAGTCCTATAAAATATGTAATGGACCTCTTTTTCAGGTTGATTTATAAATATTCTTTCATCTTATTATCCTTTCTCTCTTCCACCTATCATAGTTTAGATGTTTTTTACTAGGTACTATCTCCTAGGAAACTAGCGTTGTATAAGCTGACTTACACCTTTAATCTAGAAGTTTGTTTGATTTTGTATACGGCGTATTAGGTGATACTTAGTTAAATGATTTTGTTTCTTTATTGTAAGATTAAGTAACTCAATCACTCAGTGATGTCCACTAGTCTTTTTGTGCAAAATTTGCATTACCAATCGATCATTTAATGAATTTTGTGATTATTTTCGTCATGTTACATTGTATCATGCCAATGAACCTAATTTTCGATTAACATGTGATATATCAGACTCTTGTGGTGTTATGTATAAAACATTTACGTCATACAAAAAGCACATTCATCGGCATCATGAAAATTTACTTCATCCAGTATGTCAACAACAAGAAAATACCGTTATTAATGATATGAATACATTAGCAATTCAGCAACCTGATGCAACAGTTATATATCCAGATACAGCTGATAATAATCATGACAATGTTATATATGCAGATTTTGATGACGATCTTGATAATCAATGGAACACTCTAACAACAAATATTTCTAGTAAAGATGAAAAAATAAATCTTCTTACAGTTCAACAACAATTCATCCGATTTTTACTTGAAATGAGAGAAAAACACATTTTGCCTCAAACAGTGATCCAATTCATTACAACACATATAATCAATTTACTAGATAGCGTAGTTGAGCTTGTAGAAGAACAAGCAAAACAAGAAAACATGACTCAACAACAATCAACAACAACTATTTCTGTTGATGGAATGCGCAAAACAGTAAAACAGATAGAACAATCAATTATTCTCTCAACTCGAAATGAATATCAATTTATACAATCTTGTCAAAAGTTTTTCAATTATTCACCACCTATAGAAAATGTTTTATCATCAAATCATTTGAAAAAAGAATATTCATATCATATACCTATACGAAACACTTTAGAGAAAATTTTACAAAAAGATGAAATGATACCACTTCTAATTGATAATATTCAACATCAAACTTCAATAACACATAATGATCCAGATTTAATGTTTTCAAGACGGGACGGTGTTAAAGGTAAAATATTTAAAAATCAATCATTTTTAATTCAATTATATGTCGATGGCATCGGTGTCACAAATCCGATAGGTCCGAAGAAGGACCAACACAAATTGACACTTGTATACTTCATGTTAGAAGATATACCGAATATCTTTCGGCACCCTATCATTTCGTCCCATTACTTTTCGTCCCCTTACACTACGTCCCATTCATTTCGTCCCTCACTCGTTTCGTCCCTTTTCATTTCGTTCCAAATTCATTTTGTCCCAGTGTCATTTCGTCCCATACACTTCGTCCCAAACTCATTTTGTCCCTTTGGACAAGTCGTTTGTGACAATTCTGCTTAATATACAACGTCATGT